GTGAAATAAAAACGCAACATTCGGTTACGCCAGAGAAAGGGAACGAATGGGGGTCATTTGATATCTTTCCTTCTTTCCGTCAACGGTTTGCGCTACTTGAGATTAACCAGGTCCATTTAACTCAGCACAGCTGTTCTCTCACACTCAAAACAAAAGGACCAAACAATCGTGTCCGCGAGTCGTGAACAAAACAGTCGAGGAGCTTTGTACTGGTTCGTGCACAATCGGATTTGGTTGGTATAGTTGTAGCAATGCGATGGACAAAGTGTGACAGGACCGATTGTGTGGTGTTTTGGAGGGACACATACAGCTCGTTTCACGTGACCAATAATGGACGTTCTGATTTGCTTTTATTTTCGAACGTTTGTTATACGTGACACGCAGGTCACCACTGTCAACGCGTCAACTTGAATGCACGGTTTTTCTTTCTTTCAAAACCTGACCACACATGTGCAAACAGCTTAGATGGTAGCTAACCGACTGTACTGACATCTTTACTGTTGTGACTATACGGCACCGACTGACGGACGGGTGAGCGTATATAAACCCAACGCCAGTAGTATGTAGTTTTAGGGTCATAAGTAACGGTTAAACAGATGCATGGGGTGATTAATCAAATGTTGTTCCATGTGATTTCACACTTCATCCTAGCAGGCATGCATACGATCAGAGCAAACTTTGAGTGATAAACGTTGATTTATGCTAAAGTAAGCTGTAATACCACAAATCCGAATTGCAGTTTTGATATCTAACGGAATCAATTCTGTAGACGACTTTCGGAGTTACCAATCATTTTAGATTCTTTTATAGCACATAATGATATCATCAACATTCTTAACGGAGAGTTGCTATTTATTAGACATTGTCTACGGATATATCGATGGGGAAATGTCTGGAAACGGTGTTTAGGATCAAACTCAATTACATGGTCTATATGGTATTGACATTAACTGCTCCAAAACCACTACCGCAGCCACCGCCAATTACCACAACACTGTCAACGACTGAATTCGATTTTTGGGGTGAATGCAGTATAGCGAGTTCAATCGAGACTTCCTTAACTCTCGATTCACCTCATTAGCACCTGATGTAAAAAGTAATTTCCTCACTCTGTAAGTGACCGTAAGATCAGAATTGCATTAAACCTCAAAGGAAAAGACTGGAATATTCTCCCGAAATGGTGTTTAAAGTCGTAATACATTAAAAACAACGGTAAAAATAACTAATAACAATATTATCTTTATCTGTTGAATGGGCACATATAAAGTACTGAATAATATTTGTCCGTCATAAAGTACGAACTTTTGAAGTGGGCGTTAACCTTTTGATCATTACGGGCAAGGGTATTTTTAGGTATGGTGCATCATATACCTCTTCCTCCCCATTATCATTATCATAACTTGCTAGGTCGATTTGTCCAGTGTTTGATTCTTCTTTTAAGCCTCCTCCCCATCGGTGGTCACATTCCTTGCTGTTATTCGTACACGTGTGTGTATCTGACACGTATCCGTGTGTCCCATGGCAGACTGACATATGCTATCACTCGAGCTACAAATATGATAACTGTGTGTGCATTGGTGGAGCTCAGTGTAGGAGGGAAAGCAGAATGGCTAGAGAGATGAGGTGTGCTCTACAATCCTTCGTGTGTCGATGAGATTTGCCGAGCAGTAGTTGTTCATTACCATGGACCACCCAGTACATTTTGCCTCTGATATCTGTCTCCCGTAATTACTCTGATGAACTGATTACATGCGCCCGGGTGCAGACAGAGTGTCACTCAAAATCAGTCAACGTACGCTTACCGCTTCCCCCGCCCCCGGATATACCGATCGACAAGTCGATGTGGTTGTACCGAACCCTTCGGTTCATGTCTTACTGTACACAATCGCACAGGAACAAGTGAGCGCGCGCGCGAGAGAGAGAGAGAACACACAGGTGCAATCACCTTATCGTGTTAATTCATCAGACACAATCAGTTCTGATCAAATCGAAGCCGGTTGTTTCCCAAAGTTGTTCGTGTCTCACCAGACCTTTTTTGTAACCTGAATTCCCTTCACTCATTTTATCCCTTTCCCTAACCCTATCACCATCCGTTTATCAGTTACAAACGCATCCACATCAGCAACAACAGCAGCACCACTGACTGCATTCCACCATTTACGAACGCAGTTGTCGAACAAGTAATATTTGCCGTTTCGTGCAACTGAGTCGTATCAAAAAGTCATCAACTTTTTGCAGCTATCTTCCCGGCTCACAGTGATATGGTAATCTTCGGTGTCTTTCGTTCCATCCACTACCCTATTTCTAACCCATCCCAATTCCTGATTCCCACGTGCGCAACCATGCTCTGCCTATTTGATTTCATCGATAAACCTGTCGGATGCAAAAATGGTGCATAGTTCGAAATTACTTGATACTCAATCAACGCATTCTCACCATAGTTGTTCAAAATATACCGGTAATAATAATAATATGAATAATAATAATACCGGCGGTAGTGGTAGTAATAACGGTAATAACCATGGAGACCGACTCAATCGTTCTTGCCATGACTGTGGCAATGGAGGGAGTGAAAAGAACTGCCACGTTGGGACAGCCAGTCCGACGATGAGACGACAGTCAGCGGCACCGTTGATCTTGTTGTCGTTTTATGTGCGCGCGCGTGTGTGTACATGTGTTGGCAGTAGATCTGCGTAACCAAATGGGTGTGGCCATGATAGCGAACGAGTAGCAGATGACGAGAACACTAATGTAACACACACTTCACAGATTCGAATCAAAAGTCAATTAATCTGAAAATAAGATACTGATAAAATAGATTTGTGATGCGCCAACCAAACACCTAGACTTATCAAGTGAATGTGAAGAAGAACTAGTAACCATGATGTCATGTACAAGTGTGTGTGTGTGTGTGATGTAGACAGACTGGTTGATAAGAGTAGTCGATAAATGAGTAATTACCTAAGTGTGACTATCAACAGCTGCAAAGTCGTGATCCATTTCGCATCACCAACCGGAACGGAATCGGTTATGATCAAATGTGTTGACTGAATTCGTGTGTCAGAGCACTTTGGTTGAGAGTGCAATAAACAACGAACATATTTCTTAAAAATCACAAAGGATAGTGGGGTTCTTATAGCCTGTTGTCCGATATGTTGGTCAAATGATGGTGGTGTTACTGGAACGAAATGGGGTTTCTTTCTGGTATGTTCAGTGGGTAAATGTGTACCGTATTTTTGGGCTGATTTTCATTTCGTCATTTTGTTTACACATAAAGAAAAGTTGTTGGTGAGTCAATGAAAAACTTGACCCAATTAGAAGGGGGTTATTTCCTGGCATGCTCATCCAAATGGTTCGATATGCACTCACGTTTTGCCCTCACAAGTTTTAATATTGTGAATTCTGTCTAATGATAATTAATGAAATTGTAAACTGTTTTCAAAAATGTTGGGCAAATCACATTACTGAACACGAGTGAAACTGGTTCCGTGTTCTTCTGTGGATATTTTTATCATATCGCTTTTCCTTCGCTATATAAATGGCCTCATTTAGCTTGGTAATTAATAGGAATAGTGTAAATAGCACAAGCTCGTTCAGCAGATATCCGAAGCATAAGTATACGTATATGTAAGCGGACGTATCAGTTGCACCTCTACACTAATACGATACGTCTCTTGTGCCATCCGAACCACACCAACTTAATCATTGGTGGACACCATTCCATCGCAAAATTGCTCGCCTCAGAATCCTACATGCTAGGCTTACTGACCGGTGTTGTGTGCATGTGTGCGTCGCCCATTTCTGAGTGATCGACACTTCCAAACGGATTATATCACGCCCTGGAATCAAATTGCTCGCAATGGTCGCGCGATTCTATCATCCTCGTCACCTCTCTTTCTCTACCCATCTATTACCATCTACGTGGCCGAATTTTCCGTGTGACGGTTGCCGCTTTTGTTCAATGTCATCCAATCCCCTCTTCATCTGCCCTCAGTCATCCCAGTCCCCTCTCTCGCGCCGAATCTTTCTCTTTTTCTCAGCATGGAATGGATTGGCAAANAAAAGTGGAAATAAATGCAAGATTGGACATCTAGATGGGTGGGATAGGGTGCGGTCGTGGGGATGTACAAAGTGTACATATATATAAATAAATATATATATATATGAATTTCACTGTCTATCAAAAATTACTCGTTTGGCGGCCATGACGACGCTGTGTTCGTGTGCCAGAACTGATGGCTGATGTATGTATATTATCGTAATGGAGGCTGTGAACGAAGCAAGTATCTGGGATGGGGACACGGGACGTGAGATTAAAAAAGAGTGAGGAAAATTCATTGACTTTATTTGTACATTGCAGCTACAATTCCACACCCACTCCATACACACGCACCCACGCGCAAGTGCACAAAACTCTTCTTTTAGATGCAGCAGTAGCACTCACGACAGATTTGATGAGCGTTTCCGTAGATCCACCAAATATATATGTCCGGAGCGGTATTACCACCGCTTCTGCTCATACTACTACTACTACTACCACCACCAACACCAACACAGTTTCAGTATTGCAGAGATTAATTCAACCGATACACTTGTGATATGTACCAATCAGTCACCGAATAGTTACTAATTACAAATAATTGTCTCTCTCACTCTCTCTCTCTCTCCACACGCGCACACACACACACTTCCTATAGCCTATTTTCACTCATCTTAAAGAACGAAACAATCGGTGAAACAGGATTGTCCTGTCAGTAACACACACACGTGAAAATCGTCACACTGAAACGAAGTCAGACAGTTATTGCGTACAGACCGTTTGGCTTCCGATGTCTGTGAGTGTGGTACTCCTTCTTCAGTGGTTTCCTTGGTAGAACTACCGGAACAACAATACAGTTGGTCGTAGAAGTTAAAAGTATTTCTTTTCCCAGTACATCCGGAATTAGTTCAGTGGTACACAAACGTTGTATGATTTGTTCTCGTTCTAATCATCTACATCGATGCTTCGTTTTTCAATCAATGCACTGCCTCCCACCAGGGACTCTTATCATTCATTCATTGTTTCCCCCATTCCCCCGACTTGCAGACGAATGTTCCCACCGTTCAAAGTGAAGGTGACCAATTTGGACAAACGAGCGAAATATATTGTGCTCATGGATATCGTATCTATGGACGACTGTCGTTATAAATTTCACAACAATTTGTGGATGATTGCGGGCAAAGCGGATCCGGAAATGCCCAAACGGATGTACATTCATCCGGACTCACCGTCAACGGGGGAGCAGTGGATGCAGAAAATTATTTCGTTTCACAAGCTCAAACTGACCAATAATATATCTGATAAACATGGCTACGTAAGTTGCGATGTACAGATGGATACTGTTGTTGCCGCCCTCACTGTATGCCCTGACCAGAACAACTTATCTAATACGGTTGATGGTGTATTCATTTTTATTGCAAAAACCTCATTAATCTTAACAATAATATTTATGGACGTAAATGGATACTACTGACAAATGCAAAGACTGAAAAAATGGACTGAGTCCTCATGGATACATGCGATGAACACCCGATTGAGAAGCGTGCCCCATAAAAACAGGTTTGTTAAGATCAATGTCGACAACAGGATGACAGGTGATAATTTTGAATCGGGCCTCATTTTAGTTCTCAAATGACATGCGAATAGGTCGTCTGTGATTCCAAAAACTATTGTTGCTCTGGTCTTCATCATTGTTTTGGGAGACCGAGATTGACTAATCACAAGGTGCGTGTTCGACGGACGGAAGGAGGCAAACTAGTAGAGACGGAGGAAGAAAATTTTTCGTTCCCTATATGGGGTTTGTCATTTCAAAATCGTGACAGTTCAATTTGTCGCGGGTCAGGTTTATCCTCGCAAGTCAGTTGCAGTCAAAAAGTGTATCAAACATAATCTGGGCCAAAATTTTCTCTACTTTTGAATGGACTAGAAACAACACAAGTACTACTCAATTGAAAACAGATATACACACTCGCGCGACCGAGTAGACTCATAAATGAACCATTTGTTCGATTGAAGGGACGAGTAGTGTTGCGCGGAATGAGACCAATCCAAGCATAGTTTGTGGTCTGTCTTGGTCAAACGTAATCAAATCTCGTCGTCCCACGAAAGCACGAGAACACTGGTTCGATTAAGTAGCCATAATTGTTCCCTCGCGATTGCAGTTCACACGCAAGGTGAATGCGATATAGGGCACGAGGAATGGCAAATAATGTGAGTGAAATTTGAAGTTATGAAGAAAAATTGCTCTGCTCGGTCTTTGCCTTCATTCACATTTCCCCTTTCAACGCTCTTATCTCTATCAATCCCATCACATCACCATCATCATCACCACTCTCGGACGGACATGCGTGTGTGTGTGTGTAATGGTACCTGAATTTACGTTTGTCTTCTTGTCAATTGGTAGCCAACACCCAAAAGCAACTGGGCATGAGGATGGGAGTACAGCGATACAAAGAAGTAATCACGTACACACAAACAAACAAACACAGGCCAGAGGTGAAGAAATCGAGCCCACTCATGTCACAGTCACGTACACCAAATTACAAACGAGATCAAGGCAACAGAGAGAAAGAGAGAAACGGGAGGTGGGGAAGCATCTCTTCAAACAAGACTCACGGATAGGACAGAAAGAGGGGGGAGCACAGGATTGTTGAGTAGTAACGCACCATACCCTTTACGGGGACCTGTGTGTGTGTGTGTGTGCACGATTGTGACCAGGCAGTTGGTGATTCGGTTGGCTTTCTCACACTATCACACTTCTTTCTGTCTTGGTTACCACAGCTTCACGTAATTTCTTGCACCACCTTCTCCACCCGGATTCGCTCTATGTTTGTACGGGTGCGCGAACAAATGATACGTACGCGGACACAAAAACCCAAGCACAAATGGAT